GGTGCGTAACTACAGATGTTCCAACGAAGAAAGAGAACAACTAAATATGCCTCTTGTTCTCTGAAACATCTTTCCAGTGTTAAAGTCGTTCACAACATGTTCAGGTGAACTATGCTGTTATATTGAATCTAAACTCTTGTCTCCCCAGTATTAGTACTACAACATACAGTTTATGTTTGTGATAGGTGTGGAAACCACGTCTACACACAGAAGCCAGGGAAAGATCAGATCATGCAGCAAGGGTATATATTTTCCACCGTGGGATGCATTAACCAGCACCTAAAGCAACAGATTAGACAACTGTTCTCTGGCGATACAAAGCAATGCACCTTTGCCCACTTGCTTTATAAGTCAAGTACTTAAAGCAGTAAGTATTGGTATGTTATTAGCACCAAGATTTCAGAAAGAAAAGTCCACAAATGTGGTTTTAATTTATACAGAGCACATTGGGATTCAGCCATGCGGAAGGTTTCCCTACCAAAGTAGTGAGACCACTCAGATTTTCTATGTAAGACGACCCAAATTGACAGCTAAATTGAAATGCAGTTACATGCTTGTAGCAGGCCCCCTGTGTATACTCACATTTCAAAATTTTCTTCTCCTGACTTATGAGGGGTTCTTAAAACTATGCCACAGCATGCCTCTCAAGACAGAGGAAGTTTGTTCTACAGAGTGAGACTGTGCCAGAGAGGAAGGGCCATGTGCCATCAGTCTGCTTTAAGGTGCCTCAGAAAGGGTCCTACGGAAAGCCAGAAGGGCTATGAAGCAAAAACACGATCCTTTCATATACAGCCCCATTTAAAAGCAAGGGTTAAAGGTGTTATATTTGCATTGCCTTTGGGCAAAAATAAATACACTGCCTTGCCTCCTTCAAAAACACTTTCATTTCTGCTTGAAGTTTGGACTTTGCAACTCTTCCTCTTTATCTGAAGTACACCCATGGATAGATCGGGATTTCTGACACTGCTCCTGCCAATGACAGCCAATGTGGAATAGTGGTTAGAGTGTTAAGACTAGGATCTGGAAGCCCCGGGTCTGAATCCCCCAATTTGCCATTAAAGGCTGCTGGGTAACCAGTCCCACTCTCAGCCTAACCTACCTTGCAAGGTTGTTGTGAGGATTAAATGGAGGAAAGGATGATGATTTAAGCCATTCTGAGCCCCCACTAGGAAGAAAGGGAGGGCATACACGAATAAATTATCGTGGCAGTCTTTGTAAGACTCTAATTAAACCCAGTACAATGCTGCTGGTCTTGAAACACCCACCTAGTCCATATAATTTCCCAGATGAGTCACACCCCACCAGCAAACTCTTGCACCACTCTCCTTTCTGCTCTATACTAGCAGCACCCAAGCACATGCCATGTAAGAGCAACACATGATTCCCATTGTTACTTCTTCCACTGGCACCTTTGACAATATATTCTGCTGTTAATATTTAAACTAAAAAGTAACCACAGTGAAGTAATTCCTGGAAAAGCAAGTCTGAAGCAGCTGTCAAAGGTATTTTCCCACAAGGAGCCTGATTCAGAGCTCAGCAAGGTTCCCCCTGCTTCAAAACATATGGGTTACATATAGAGAACCAACATTCCTTCTCCTATACTTTTCCTTGAAGCCTCAAGTCTATTTACACAGACATAACGTCTCTGTAGTTATGCTTCAGGTCTCTAATTCAAGGTCACGTTTGGCTCATAACAGCATAGTTTTATGCTCCAGAGACACAACTGCAGAGAATTGAAGTTGCTTTCCCAGTTAAAATTCAGAGACAGGCTTCAACCAAACAGGGCTACAGTTGTTACAAAGTTAGATTTTAGCTCCCATGGGCAGGTATCAATTTTATTTTCCTTTACTTATTAGCACACCAGCTCTATGCTACTATTTGGCAGCAGATCTTGGGAACACAGCAAGTCCTTGGCTAATATGACTTGCTATTAGCAAACTTTAAGCCATCTTCATTTACAGACTATTGGTTGTACTCATGCCCCTTTGGAAAGCTCCAAGTAACTTTTGACACACAGTCAGTACAGTCTACCCAAGTACTGCCTAGGCTAAGATCTGCTGAGATTTAAATACCAATAGTGTAATGTTCCCTCAGTCTAATTTCTGGGTCCCATTTCATTTTTACATCTGTATGTACATATGAAAGCACCAAGATAGTGGACATCAGCTGCCATGTGGGACCCTAATCCCCCCAAAAAAGTTTAAGTAAATTTCAATTAAATAAAATATTGGGGCCAAGAAATTTCAGATAATGATGATAAAGCTGAAAGTGTCTGGAGAAGTAGTATGGGGTAGGAGTTAACAACTGAAGAGAAAAGCAGGTCAGAAAAAAGGGAAAAGGACAAGCATGAGCAGTGACAGAAGAAAGAGAGGGAGTGTGAATGGAGCAAAGGAGGACAAAGAAGAATGGCACTTCAAAAGGGATAATGAGGGAACATGGAAGGGGGCAGCAAGCAGGCACCAGAACACATTGGCAGACACCCTGGTGTCTATGAGTGCCACACTGAGGATCATTGTAATAGAGGCCTTGCAGTGAGGATACTAGATGAGCTTTAAAGTTTTCAAAGTACTGTAAGCAGATACCAAGGAAGATGCTTAGAGGAGGAGAAGAGAAATAAGTGTGCTGCAATCTTATGCACACATGCCTGGGAGTAAGTCGTACTGAAATCTCAACTTACTTCTCAATAAACATGAATAGCATCAGGCTCTTCTAAGAACCATGCCTCTTTGTGGTATGTGAACAGCCACTACACCAAGGCACCAGATGTGTTTTGCTAAACTCTGGCAAAGCTGTTCAGATCCTCAGATTTACAAAAAGCTATACAAATACTAGATTGCAACTTTCCTTGCAAAAGCTACCCAAGTGGAATGTTCAGTGGGTTCACGGTTCTAGAATCACACCAACTAAGAGTGACCCTATGATGTAAGGCAGAGGTTACCTCCTATCATCACACTGTCTACACTACTTTTATTCTTCCCTGATTACTACCTACCTATAAATGTAAAATGCAAAGTTGCTTCTCATATTAACATCATGAGGAACTACTAAACAGAAAAAATTAGAACCTTAGAGCTATAGAGCCTATGTTCAGGTTAACTACTGTACTTTATATATAGCTGCATTACTTGAAAGGTCACCATTCATTTAATACCAAGTCCAGCTATATGAAGAAGTTGTTAGGAATCTACTATGATCAGAATATTATGAGTATTTTTAAAACTGGTTTCACCCTTGGCTTTTTAAGGCTTCTGGTATACAAATTAGTGAAGTACAGTTGCAGAAACATAGCAGAGAAAGGCATATCACCATCCATGACACAGACCAGGTTCAGAAGGGTCCAAATATTATGTTTTAGAGGAGCAGCTATGAGAAAATTATCAGTATTACACCTAATATAGCGGCACTTAGAATTTACAATACATTAACAAGATCTAGTAGGCTAAGTATATAAGAACATTGTTTGATCATTTGCCCTGGCCTACCAGGGTGCTAGCTATTGCAAGTTATTAGTTTATGAGTCTTCAACTATAGCGTGCCACGCAACATTTACAAGTTTTTAAAAATTCTCTGCTGAATTAATCTGGGAAATTCATTACTTGAATGTCAAGCCCTAAGAGATCAATATAAGTTCGAGATACTATCTGGTTTATGAGATACTATCTCAAGGTCTACGCCCAGGTGAATGCTAGCTAGAAGTATTGACAAAGTCTGACAATTGCCACCCACATTCCCTACAGCCAATTTGTATCCAATGCCTAATAAGCACACAGCCCAATATAGCCTGATTTAGCAAATCTAGATGTTCTTCCTATTGCAAAAAAAAATTGGGGTGGGCTGCTCTTATGACAGATGTCCTTTGACTTGCTGTGCTCTGCTCTACAAGCTACCACCCCAGCCCACATAGCTCTTTAAGCTTAGCCCCACACACACGTCTCCCTGGAGAACAAGCCCTGAAAGGCTCCTCTCAGACTCGGAGGCTGGACTTTTAACAGTGCAAAGCCTTCATAAACCTTCAGCACAGAAACCCAAGCCCTGCAGCCAAAAGGAAGTGGCTCTACCTGCTGGGAGGGAGGCATCTCAGGAAATCCTGTCTGAGCAAAGTCAGCCATTCCTTCACTTTCCCAGGATTTGACTTGGGACCAGTTACTGTCTAGGCAGAGACTGGTGGGTGGGCGGCCTTAATTACCTGGGGCAGAGCACATGGAGAGAGCCAAAACATGAGCTCTCCCTTGTTCTCAAGGAAGGAACCTCCCTCTTATGAATAGTGTAGCTCTCCACCGCCACCAGCACTAGCTACAACTAATTTGGATGTATTTTAATGGTTTTAACTGTTATTTGCATACTTATGTAATTGTATCGAGTATGATGGCACCCACCCTGAGCCTGCTACACAGGGAGGGCGGGATACAAATCAAACCAAATAAATAAAAGATGGGAGTTAAGTCAATTTGCTGAACACCTTCACCGGTATGGGAAATGGGCTGCTCCAAAGGCAGCCTAGGAGGTACAACCAGCACCCACCCCCCCTCCCCAGGTGCATCAGCCGAAGCTCCTCACGGCCCCACCCAGCCATTCAACATGTGCCCCCCCCGGGGGCTCTCCTCCTGCACCCCAGAAAGCGGCTCAGCCGGCCATGTTCCATCGAACTACACCCACAAAGTAAACAGAAACCTGACAGGGCACCATCTGCCATTTCCCCCACCATAACATTACTTGGGGAAGAGGTGCATACACCTGAGGGCAGGTGAAAGGCAACAGGGCGACGTCGGGGAAGCCAAGGAGAAAGCCAAGCGCCTTCTAAGGTGCGGGGTGCGCTAGAAGGGGGGAACAGGTCGCGCCAAGGCCGCCTAAGTACTATCCGGCAAGGGAGGGCAGCACCTAAGGCTGGGAGGGAGAGGAGCGTCGAGGAGGCTTCCCACCGCCCGGGTGACAGCCCCCCACCCCCCGCGCCAAGAGGGGCGGCTCCACCCGGGAGACGAGCGCGCGCCCAGCTCACCCACCGATGGAGACCAGTTTGATGTTCTCCTTGTCCAGGAACTCGAGCGCCACCGAGACGTTCTCCAGCTGCATCTGTCGGAAGGTGGGTCTCTGGTGGTACTTGCGGTACATCCGCTTCTGGCTGAGAACCTCCAGCAGGGCGATGAGCCGGAGCCCGTCGCTCAGGTCATACTGCAGGTTGCCGATGCGCTTGTTCACGCAGCGGAGGTGCTCGTTGCACCAGCGGGTGAAGGTGTTCTGCTGGATCCGTTTCCAGGGCGCATCCTCCGCCAGGTCCTTCTCGGTCACCGGCATGGCTGCGAAGTCCGGCTTGGCGTCGCTCCGGCCCAGGGGACGAGGCTGCTCCTGTTCTCGCCTCGCTGCTTCCAGTCCGCTCCGCTGCTCGCTGGGGCCGCTGCTGCTGCCGCCGTCGCCGCTCCAGTCACTGAGAGACGCCTGGCCCTGCGCCTGCGTGCTCATGCTGAGGCAGCCGCCCCGCCTTCTCCTGGCGATAATGAGCGGGTAGAGCGACCAACCCACCCGCCCGCCTAGGCTGCCTGGTTCCCTCCTTCTGCTGTTGCTGGGTCACAGCCAAGTACAAGCCGGGGAATCTGCAGGGAGAAGAGAAGGACGCGCGCCGTTAGCTGAACAACGCCAGCAGAACCCCACGCACCTCTCCCAGTCCCGACCCACCTACTGCACACGTGCGTACCTGCGAGGAACTCTGTGCGAAACGGCCATTACGCGTACCTTCGCCTACAGAGGTTAAATACCCCGGGAGGGGCGGGGCCCACCGGGCAGCCCAACCCAGGCGGTGGAAGTGCTGCCCCCTGTCGGAGACGCCAGACACAGCGGAGGACCCTCAACCCCCCCAACCCCGGTAGACTTTCTTTGCTTCCATCCACCTCGTCTAGTTCCCCACCCACCCTGTCGTTTACCAAGTATGCGCCATCATAATGCCGCCCCAAGACACAAGTAAAAATTATAACATAAAAAGAGCACTCCACACAAGGCAACTTTGTTTATATAGGTGTATTTATGATAAATGCTTGCGATACCGAGATCTGAGGCATGTATTTGATGAGATTCCTGTGCCTGACGGCCATCAACCACTTCCTTAATTTGACGACTGTCGTTTACCAAGTATGCACCATCATAATGCCGCCCCGAGACACAAGTAAAAATTATATCATAAGAAGAGCACTCCAGACAAGGCAACTTTGTTTATATAGGTGTATTTATGATAAATGCTTGCGATACCGAGATCTGAGGCATGTATTTGATGAGATTCCTGTGCCTGTCGGCCATCAACCACTTCCTTAATTTGACGGTTGATTCCCGTTCGCTGTGTGTTTTTTTTGGTAAGGACCTACGGGAGAATGATAAGATCGGGGATTTGTCAGGGCGGGGTGAGCAGTATAGGCAACTCTGCTGCACTGTCTGAAGCCATTACAAGTCGGGAGAAAGGCCTGCCTAAAATCTCTTTCCCCTTAGCAGTCCTGATATGGTTCTTGTTGAGAAGCATTGGCCTAATCGAAACTGAATCACACCTGTGAAGCTGCCACAATTTTTCCCCAGGTGTCTGGGACACTAAGAAAAAAAAAGAACCATGAACTGCTGGCCAGAGGGGTCTAAATCAGCTGCTACTGGGTATTTTCTGTTCTGTAGGCCAGCTGTAGAGAATGAATGGGGGGGAAGGAAAGGAACCAGGTCTTGTTTTAAAGATCTGGGTTAAAAGTGGACCTGCTAAGCTTAAGGCCACAGCTTTACACAACCAAATACTGGCCTGTAGTCTACTGAAATGTGAGATAGGATCACCATCATTTTTTTTTTTAGATACAGGTCCTGTGCTAGGGTTGCCAATCTCCAGGTGGCAACTGGAATTCTGCCACTATTATAATTGATCTTCAGGTGACCAAGATCTGTTCCCCCTGAAGTTCCCTTTGGATGGTACACTCTATGGCATTATACCCTGCTGAGGACTTTTGTCTCACCAAACCCCACCCTCCTCAGGCTCCACCCCCAAAATCTCCAGGGATTTCCCAACCCAGAACTGGCAGTCCTATACTGTGCCTTTAACAGAAATTTGGTAGGGGAATCCTTTCCCATTCTTTCCTACCCATACAGGGAACAACAACACTTTTCATATCTTCCTGTAATGCTCTGCAGCTGTCAACAGCATTGGAGTCCTGTCAGAAAGAAAAGGTGTTTATCATGGCACTGTGGGAAGAAGCATGCTTGACAAACTGGAAGCCCTTGGTTCATGTTCAGCTAAGCCATAAACATGGTTGCTACCCTGCCAGAATGTTATAGGTAATGCCTGAATTTTACCTTCTTGGTTGGTTGTAAACAGACCAAACAGCTTAATAGTAAGAAATTCATCAGATATGTTCCTAGCTTGGTGGTGCAGTGATCTTTTCCTGTTCAGTTCTTGCCTGTCCTACATCTGCTAAAGGTGCAGAAACCTGCTAGGTGTGAGGAGTGGCAACCTAGAATTGTCTCCTTATTATTATTTTTTAATTACCTGAGAAAATCAGAGTGGGCACCATGCTAGATCAGACCAATGGCCCATCTAGTCCAGCATCCTGTTCCCACCAGTGGCCAGTCAGAGGTCATGGGGAAAGCCACAAGCAAGGCTTGCAGTCAGTGCTTCTCCCCTGCTGACTGCTCCTCAGCATCTGACAACTGGAGGCTTCCTGCCTTTCACCCTAGAAGCTCCATTTGGCTGTCATGACCAGGGCTATTTTTGGGCAGGAACGCACAGGAACGGAGTTCCAGCTGGCGTCCAAGTTGGCCATGCCCAGCAGGAACGTATTAGCATAATAGGCCACACCCAACAGCAGAAACTCATTAGGATTGGCTACATTAGGGGTGTGTGGCCTAACACGCAAAAAAGTTCCTGCTACAAAAAAGCCCTGGGTTTGGACAACAAACAAGGTTAACAGAATAAGAAGCAAAAGGTGGGTGTGGCTGGATGAGCACACGTTTGGTAACATGGGGGTTGTGGCCTAATATGCCAATGAGCTGTGCTGTCAGGGGTGTGGCCTAATATGCTAATGAGTTTCTGCTGTTGGGTGTGGCCTGTTATGCTAATGAGTTCCTGCTGGGCTTTTTCTACAAAAAAAGCCCCGGTCATGACTATAACCAACAATAGATCCATCATCCACAGATTTGTCCAGCCACTTTTAAAGCCATGTCAGCCAGGGAACATCACCACTTTTTTTGGCAGAGAGTTCCAAAAGTCACCTATCCCTTGCGTGAAGTCATACTTTGGATCAGTGTTGAACCTACTGTCAGTTTCACAGGGTGAACTCCCCCCCACCAAGTTCTAGTATTATGAAGGGGGGAGAAAAATTCTTCTCTGTCTACTTTCTCTACACTATGCATAACTTTGTAAACCTCTGTCATGTCACCCGCTCAGGGGTCCTTTTTTAACAGTAAAAAGGTAAAGGTAAAGGTTCCCTTGCTCGAAAGCCAGTCGAATCCGACTCTAGGGTTGCGGTGCTCATCTCCGTTTCCAAGCCGAAGAGCCAGCGCTGTCCGAAGACGTTTCCGTGGTCATGTGGCCGGCATGACTAAACACCAAGGCGCACGGAACGCTGTTACCTTCCCACTGAAGTGGTACCTATTTATCTACTTGCAATTTCTTGCTTTCGAACTGCTAGGTTGGCAGGAGCTGGAACTAGAGATGAGAGCTCATTCCATCATGCGGCACCCGGGTCTCGAACTGCTGAACTACTGACCTTCCACAGCCTGCAGTTCAGCGTCTTAACCACTTGAGCCACCGCAGCTCCTTTTTTAACAGTAAAAAGCCCTAAACACTTTAGTCTTGCTTCCTATGGCAATTTATATTTTGCATTCTCTGTTTTTAAATAATATACCCGAGGCAGCTCACAGCACAAACATTAAAAAGAATCACCATAAAGATAAAAATCTAAAACCAGCTTTAGGAAAACACAGTTGAGCAGCATAAAAATAAAACCAGTCTAATAATAAGCCAGTTATGTGGAATTAGATAACACAGTCTCCTAGTAAAAAAGCAGAAGCAGATTCTTAAATTGTATTTCCTCCCAGAAACTACAAAGATTACAAAATAAAGGTCATAGTGTTCAGGGCTGTGCTAGTTGAGTAGTACCTGCGACATCATTACAACATGCATCAAACGTTTACAAAAAGCTTGCATGCATGCATGTGCAGTCTAACGCTATCTGTGGCTACTTGGAAGTGTCCTGCTAACTTAAGAGAAACTATTTGTAAGAAAGAAGGCCTTCTATGCCATGCCATTTCAGTTTTCGTCTTCCCCTGTGTTTTTCTTGCTCTTTTCCCTCTTTCACTCCACCCCTACCCATTCATCCCTAGGCCATACATTTTCACTCTTTAGTACTGGATCATGTATCTCCCTTATGGAGAACATGGGGGCGGGGGCATGATAGACGTCTGTAAAATTAGACATGGGGAGAGGAAAGTGGATAAAGAGAACTTCATTCACAGAAGTTATTTCCAGTAGCTCACCAGCAAAAAGCACTGTTGTGGGAAATGGGTTGCTGATTTGAGTCCCCCATGAAGAGGAGGGATACAATAAAGCCCATCTTTTAGCAAGCATCAGTTCCAGAAGAACAGAACAGGAGAAGATAAGACTAGACTCCACACTTCACACGCTATAGAGAATTCCTCTAACCATGGTGTCAGGGCCTTCCTCAGTCCATCCTCATTGGGAGAGGACTCCTCAAAGGAAGGAAGAAACTCTGCAAGGGCAGAGGAGTCCCCTGTGGACCCCATCACACCCCAAATTCCATGCACCCTAAGATCTCCAGGAGAAGACATACACAGCCATCTTTCTCCCACAACCGGCTCCCATCAAGAGCTGGAAGGTTCAGGTGGATAAGGAACTCCGAGTGGTCCCTTCTGCCAGCAGCCCCCCTACAGTCTCCTGCAGGAACAGAGGAGGTGGAGAGCCAGAGGAGACCAAGCAGAGGAGAACATGCCTGGTGGCCCAGGGCCTTCATCCATGCGAGGAAGATGCCATTTCCTAGGTCCTGCCAAGGTCAGGGATCAAAGTCAACTAAGTTTTAAGTGTTGCTGATTCAACAGTTCTCTGTCCCAGCCTGTGTCTAGTTCTAGTCAGCTCCCTGGAGCAAAATCTTGGCTACCTGCTGGAGATTCCGTGGCTTTTAAAAAATGGGACATTAAGCGCTGTCCGAAGACGTTTCCGTGGTCATGTGGCCGGCATGACTAAACACCAAGGCGCACGGAATGCTGTTACCTTCCCACCGAAGTGGTACCTATTTATCTACTTGCAATTTCTTGCTTTCAAACTGCTAGGTTGGCAGGAGCTGGAACTAGAGACGGGAGCTCACTCCAT